TATATATATATATAGTACTTGGTAAATGAGGGAGACCCCTCCTAATAGGCAGCAAGCCCTAAGCCTAGAAGTATGGCCGATCGACCCTTCATGTATACATGATGAATCGGTTCAGCTGCCTACTCTTCACATGTCTGGTTTAGTTTATAGGGACGTCCAAATTAGTATGTCAGGCTTGAGAGATTTTCGACCTTATTCGTCAAAGCTTTTGTCTGTACGCTGAAGATGACAGTGCTGTTGTAATCTCTCGAGGTTGAAGGCTCTTTGACGACGACCCTAGAAGCACCTAGATTCCTTTGACAACTGCATTGTCTGTCAAAATACTTGAAGAGTTTTCTTCATTTACTCATAGCCATCCATATCGGCCCAAGCATCAGGTAGTATGCTGCCGAATTGAACGGGGCCTTCATGCTAAGTATGCTCTGTAGTATCTTCCAATGATAGCCCAAGATTGGCCTATTCTTATCTAGCACGAGGACAACAGACTGAACTCCCTATAACGATGGCGGCCATGATGGTAATGTATCGATTATGATGTCCTAAAATGCTTTTTGTAGTGATTGCCCTATGTTTGGAATCGGCTCCGAACCAGTCGATTCCACTCCCTAAGACATGCTCCTTCTAAGGTTTCCAACTGTGGGTGGCTGTTTGATTCACGGTGGTTGCCTGCTTTGCTTCCATTGTCTCTCCACTTTCAGTGCTAAGGTCTGTACGTCCCTTAGTGTCCAATAGGGTTGTGGCTAGACCATATTAATGATGACGGGCTTTAGGCCTCCCAAGTATCTGACCATGGTGTTCTCCTCTATTTCTTTTGGCTCATACTTCAACTTAAGCTGCATAAATTATGCCGTGTACTCAATTGATAGTTCTTTCTATTGCAGGTAGTGGACTTTCAAGAAAATAAATTTGCGGTAATGTGGGGGTACGTACTGTCACTACATCGCCTTTTTCATTTTCGTCCAAAAAATGATTTTGTTACATTCTTTCTATCTCTCTCACTTTAGGCTATCTCTTCACAATGAGGAATTTTTCTTCAGCTTGATGACAACGAGCTTCACTTTTCTGTCATTCACTTCCTTGTATTCAAATATCTATTCAATAGTTTGCATCCATTTGAGGAAATAATTTGGATCCATTCTTTCCTCTAAGTCCGATAGGTCCATCTTCATTCTCAGATTTCTGTTTTCTCCAATAGGCTCCTCATCTTTGCATCTTATAAGATACACTCCATCTTTGTATCCTCTAATAAGTATCTCATCTCCGAATCCTTGAACACACACCTTTCTTTTATGTCCTTTTTAAAAAGACTCGGAGTCGCCAACTTGTCTTATTGTCATATTTTTTGAATAAATCTCTTTGATTATAAAAATGATCCGAAGAGGGAGAGAAATCGGAAAGATAGAATATACGACAAAAGTTAGACAAGAAAATTTTAAAAAGAAACAATGAAGGCTTATATAAGTTAATCTTCGTATGATAAGTCAAGAATGTATGGTCAAAAGATATTGGATATCCAATTATTATTTATGATATCCAGCAATTTGATAAATCAAGGATGTTTATCATCTCAAACGGGTGAATTCCAATACTTTCGGTGCTTATGTCTTGCCATAGAGCAGAGGGTGAATCACTGCATCCACTGCGGGCGGTAACAACTGAGCATGCAAGGCCCACGAGACGATATCAATGATTTTTCAAAGGAATGACAGGGCTCAAAGGAGGTGCCAACAGAAAGAAGATGACTCCCTAAACACATAGAGGTAGCCGGGTCAGGATATCATTGTTCTGTTATCCCAAATTATGAAGAGCCTAAGTCTATCTGGTCGTGAAGGTAGTCGACCCGACCTGACTAGGGACCCTTTATCAGTAATCCATGAATTGTGTCGTCCAAGGAAATCTCGATAGCCCAAAGGTTAGAGGAAAGAAACATCTAATTCCCTATGACCCTCTAAGAGGTGAAATAGGTAAAAATGAGAGTTATACTCGTCATTTAAGGGTCTGTTTGACGCAGTTTAATTGTTGCAGTGCGTTTTGAAAATGCAGTTGACTCCATTTGTTTTCTGCTTTTTGTATGCATTTCAGGATAAACGTTAGCATTTTTTTATTAAACGTGGACGCGGGTTTGACCCTGCTGTCCGCGTTTGGAGAAAAAACTTCCCGCGCTTGCTCTCATCCTGTGTCGAAGCCCTAAGGCTTCTATCCTCTCCTTTGCTCTCATCCTGTGCCGAAGCGCTAACGCTTTTCTTTCATTCTCCTCTCTCTCGATCGTTGCCTCTCCTTTGCTCCCATTCTGTGTCGATGCCCTAACACTTGTCAGTACGTGGTTGTGGTGCTCTGTAAGTAATATCATTACCTTTCTTGTGGTGATTTTCGATGGAGTGGCTATTTCGTGCGATTATTTGCCTTTCTCTTTTGCTGTGAGGATTTTGTGGAGCTCTGCCGTGGTGATTTTCTGATGGAATGACTTATTTGTGTAGAAGTTTGTGCTTAGTAGGGGGGACATTAATTTCTAACGTAAGGTATGTTGAAGACATTATAATCATTACTAAAGCTTCCTAGGTGGCTGTCAAAAAACATTTTTCGTTTGTTTTTCATTTTGAATAGGTCTCTAGTTTGAATTTCAACAAGAACAAGTGTGTTTTTTATCTGGCAAGGATATCTATAGCTACGACTCATTGGATTGCAAATTTTACTAGGTTTTCAAGTGATCAACTTCCTATTTCCTAACTTGGTGCGAAGATTATCAAGGGCAGAAGGAAATGCTTTCTTTGTTTAGGGGCTCTTAAATTCTATATCTACTTGACTCTCTTTTTGGTAGATAGTTTCATCTGTGATGGGGCTAGAATTACATTAAATTAAAGCTTTTTCTCCTCTCTTCCTCTTTACTCTCTTCAATTATTCAAAATGAACAAGTATATTATTTTTAAGATTGAGAGAATGTTTAATAGATTCTTGTGGAGTGGTTTTTCTTTCCAAATTCACTAGACAACCTAGAAGAAGTTGTGCAGCCTTATTGATTGGGGTGGCTTAGTCTTTAGGTCCCTAAGGATTCCATTTTTATTGATTGTATCAAATTATGGATCAAGTTTAGAGCTAGAGCTTCACATTCAGTTGAGTTTATGTGAAAGAAGTATTCTGCTCACTCTCATCCCTTAGCTGGTACTCAACTAGTTGATTTTGCCATATGGAAATAAATGTTGTCTCATAGGGTGGCTGCTGACCATCTTATCTATTAAGAGGAGAGGCAACGATCGAGAGCGAATGAGGAGAATGAAATTTATTGTATTCTATTAAACCCGACAAGTGTTAGAGCACCGACACA